ATCTGCATGAGCTACTATTGACTGGGCTCCAGGCTCAGGGAGCTTCATTACATCTGTCTAAGTACTTTCTCAGATGAGAGCAATGAACGTCATTCACCAACTGTTCTTATGCAGTTTTTTATAAACATTGGTGATTGTCAGATTTTACCATCACCAGTGTTTACCTGTTTACTTGTTCTTGTGTAAGAACAGTATCTACACACACTTAAGAGCACACTTGACAACTGAAATATTATTGTAAAATAATCAGTTATTGTGTTTTTTACTTTTAATTTTATAGTTGTATGATAAGTTTTAAATTACCATAACATTTTATTATTTTTTTCTTTAAAAAACAGACCAGTTTCAGAGCATATTATAAATGTTTCAACACATAAACATGTTGAAGAGGAGAATATTTAGTCACAAAAATAGTCAACCATCTTTTGATTTTACACACAGCTACAGCTTATAGTTAAAACGTTTTTGTAAAGTGCAGCCTGTAAATTATGAGAACTGAGTTTATTTGTGTTCTGAGTTGAGAGGTGGCTCAGGTGATGCAACTGCACTGTGCACCAAGAGGGACCTGAACCCGCACATTTTATCTGAACCTGGTATGTCTGGTCCCGATGGTCCCATTAGGCTCAGATCGAGTTTCCACAGATGCTCAGCTGCAGTGCTGTGTTTCCGATGATGCGCTGATCCAGCTCAGATAACTCTGTCCACCATCCTTTTCTTTTCCTTCCCCCTATTTCTTGTGAGGCTGACAATATTTATTATATTAAATCTGAGATCAAACAATTTCCTTAATTCAATTATGCGACTTTCTCCTGATCCAACTTTCACGATGATACAACACTAACATGTAACTATATTCCATGTATTGTTGTATTTTATGTTCACTTCTGACACTACAAAATAGCCCAAAACTTTTTTACGGGTTGAGTCCGGTACAGTGTCTACTTTTTCCTTATTTGTTCAGTCACTCCTTGCTTGATTTTCTTCTGAGTTTCTGTGCAGTCTCTTGCCCTTTTATGATCATTGGCAGGGTGTTTACCTACGCTGTTTATGAATACATGGCATTCATCAAAATAGGAACAGATGCAACAATTCTGCAGTTTAAGAACATTTCATGAATCTGGCTTAAGAGTTTTAGAAACTTCTAAAGAACAAATTAAATACAATTCTTAAGAGGATATTGGTGAATGAAGCCCATTGTCCGCGAAGGGCAACCAGCTGCAGGGTACCAAAAAGAGGAAAGTTGCACAGGTCACAAATGAGGAGAGCGACTCAAGCTGAACGAGAGCTGATTTATTTCACGGTGACATTCTCCAAATTAAGTGAAAACTTGTGTGGAAATTTTGAAGAATAGAGACATGGTGCGTTGGAACCAGAGCAGTCACACGATGTGCAGAAAAACAGACACCATCTGTGTGTGACGGTTTTTTATTAAAGGAATAGTTCAACATTTTAGGAAAAATGCTTATTGGCATGACACTGCTCGTATTTCTGTATGCTTACTATAAAACTACAACCAGCTGGCCATTAGCTCATCTAAGCATTAAGACTAGATCTGTTCAAATTAAAATAAAAAACAATCTGTCTGAAACCGCAATATGTCAATGTGTCACTAATTTCAAGTTTTTTGTATAAACCCATCAGGTTTGTAAAAACCTGACGGGTTCTGGTCAGGTATCCAAACTCTAATGAGCATGGGTCTGTGCTCGATGTATGTAGTTATGCTAAATATGTTGATCTTATCAAATCCACAGCAAGAAAAGTAATTAGCATATTTGCCCAAATGTTCAACACAAACATACTAATGTACATATGCACATACGTATATATGTCCACTGGTCATCAAGAGAAGAACAATGGTCAGACAGATGGACCAACAAGGGGGAGTTCTCAAAATGCGTAACAATATGGTGATTCAAAATGGAATCTCCAGGGGTCAGTGTTCAGGTCTATTTTCATTTTGTGTATCAAAATTTTAAATTAGCTATAAATACCAGTAATATGAATTTGTCACTGGTATTCCAAGAATGGAAGAATAGTGACTACAACGGAAACAATGGATAAAGAAGAAAGGGAAAGTACAAGGGGAGCCAGACAGACAGAAATGATGAGACACGTTTTTCTCAGGAAGTACTGCCTAATGTCAGAGTGTCCCTCCCATACCGGACCCTACTGAGGGTGCTAAACCACTTCCTCTTCCCTCTGTTTTCCTCTCCTTCACCTACAACCACAGCAAGTGTCTTAGACCATGAGGTTATGAGTCCAGGGGAAAGGTCAGGCTCTAACTCTGCTGTTGGTTGGATGCCCATCATTGTGTTCTGTATATATATTCCCAGTGGTTTATATTTAGATCAGGAACTCCCAGTATGGTGCCTCTAGGCCCAGTTACGATGGAGAAAAAAAGGTGGATCATTGTTGTGAATGTGTCTGTACAGAAAACCTCCCGCTGTGTTGTGCATGTTTGAAAGGCAAACTCTGGGCAAACTCGCAGGTAATGTCTGAAAATGGCTTGAGAGACACTGTTACACTTTGAGTTGTCTATACTCCTCTGTTGTATAAAAATGTTTATGCAAAACCAGTGCCATGTGCGAAAAGATCACTTTTGTAATCACAAGGTCAACAAGAATGGTTGATATATTCCCATAAATTAAATCAGGCTGCAACAAAATTCATTCTCATTGTTTTAATCAAGATCATGAATTATTCCTTGGGAAAACTGTGAAAGATTTAAAAATGCCTTATCTCGCAATGTCAAATAAAGTCATTAAAAATTCCTGGATCCGCCTACTGGTCCGGCTCTGCACCAAAATTAGATGGGTTCTTATCTGAATCAGACTGTTGCTTTCCAGTTTCATGGAAACCTGTTCAGTTATTTTGCGTAATCTTGCTTTAAAACAAACAAACAAAAAGAAACACAGGCGGCAGTAGTAATGAAAACTAATGTAGCTTATATAATATATATATATGAAAGGTAAATTGCATTAACTGAGAAAGAAAGGTTATTTTTTTATTTGTCATATTAAAGTAATGCTGTACATGGGGTTTTCTTAAATATATTAATTGTCATGGCTGTTGCATGAAAATTAAGGTAATCAATCTGTTTTTATTCTTTCCTTACAACCCTTAATGCATCTCCAGTTTTATTTCAGTGATATAACATCACAACTTACATCATCTCCTAGACCATTCAGTGATAAGGACATTCATGAAAACTCGATGCATGACGTCCATTATCATCTTCTGATGGTATGTTGTTCTTTCATGCCATTCCAGTGCATTAGCTGTGAAGCCCAGGCTGTAACCAGCGTCACAGGAGACCCATAAACAACGCCTCTTAACGACAGGTTGTCAGTTGTAACTCTGCAGCATAAAGACACATCCTCTTTGTGCACAGGAAAGCCGTGACGCTGGCCGCTCACAAGGTGCACCCGGCGCCGCGGGGCGGCCATCAACTGTGCCATTACAGAGCGCGGGCTGTGGAAACTTCGTGTTGATCACTGGTGTGCTTCCGTTCGTCACAGAGATAGTAAAAACTAACCATCAATGAGCTGTCTTTCATTGGGGGTGCAGCAGGAGCCTTCAGGGCACGGTGTGTGATGTAACACTGTCACAAACGTGTCATTCCCAAGGGCTTAAATGGTGGAGATACAGAGGGGGCTTTGAAGTGTCACAATGAACACTGGGCTTTGTGCTCCATCAAGTCCCCCCAAAACTCCCATCATAACCCCACCCCCCTTCCAGAGTCCTGGGTTCCATCACACAGACCCAGAGATGGAGGTTACATAACTCGCCTACAACAAGTAAACCCGATTTAAATGAAGAAAAATGACCAAGAGTGCTCGGTCCTTTTGAAGATGGCACTGAGCATTTTTGGCTACTTGTAAAAAATGGTTTAAAGTGAGCCTTTTGACAAAAGGTAGGGTGGACACACACACACACACACACACACACACACACCAGCAAACATACCGACAGCTCCTGCACATTTCCCATGAAAGGTTTTCAGCAAGTGGCGGTAATTAGAAGGAGAGACAGAGTGAGAGTGAGTAAGGACTCCCAGCAGGCTCTGGGACAGCAGGGGTCAATATGAAAGCCTCATCCCCACGTCGAACCACCTCTCTGGTATTGTTTACCAGCGGACTGACAACACAGGGGGGTGTTTAATGAACACTGCTCCCCTGCCGGTTGTCTGAAATTGGGTCTGTCCATCCGTAGTTTCCTGGTGACCCTGTGCATTGCTGGCAGACAGCTGATGGAGAGGTCAGTTCCAGAATGGAGGTACGAGTCACTACAGATTGAGTTTTTTGTTTTTTTCAGAGTCAAATCATGTCATCAAAGTTTGCCAAGTAGATGACAGGAAGCAATAACATAACATGTCAGTACTGAGAAGGTTATGGTATCAGGAGGAAGTAATTATAACCGGGAACTGTGGGCCAAGCTGGCAAGTGCTAATAAAGTCAGGTCACAAAAATCCTTGTGCACGAGGGTATGTATAGATATATATTGGCATATTTGTGGTATTTATCTGTTTATTCTACAGCTATTCTATCACTATTGCTGTTTATATTTTTGATCACCACAGAAATGTATGAAGGTGAGTAAGAAGTGAGAGAAAAGGTAAATAAAGATGTGCCAAATTTTGCTCGACATTCAGTCTGGCTCTTATCTTGGAGAGTCAACAGACTTGATGGTTCAGTCGATGTGTCGAGCATCTTATCTCGACTGGCATCGAGTGTCTCATAGAAGTGGAGTCTGTCTCCCTCCTCCTCCTCTCCTACTCCTTCCTGTCTTGCCCCATGTTGTGAACACCAGACAGGGCTATCAATCAGATATTGTGTTGCAGAACCTCTTCACATGACACCAGACAAGGGACACACCAGATCAACTGCAGACAAACACTTTAGCTATCACTTTAACCATCAAGATCCTCATCTAGCAGCCACGATCTGTTAGTGAACTGAGCATGTGAGAATTTAAAACATTTAAAAAAAAAAAAGACTCACCAGCTTTTTCTTTCTCAGGAATGGCAGAGGTGCTCTGGGGGAGAGAGAAGAGAAACAAAGATTTGAGTTGAGATAGATTTGTTATAATGCATTTTCACGATATTTGCCATGCAACTATTATCTCAAAGTTTGTCATTCTTAACAAACTTGCAAGATCAGTCTTGCTCCCTTTAAACATACCTCAATAAACCAGTGAGTTTATGAGATGAAGTTTAACAAAGAAATGTAATGAAGAAATACAGAAACACCAAATAACAGAATGTATCCAGTGTCACGATGTTGTATGAGCTACATATTTAAACCCTTTGCGTGTTCTCTGTCATTTCTCCTGCATCCTCTGATTTATGTTTCAGAATGTGAACAAGAAAAAAAGAATAAAGCAGGGTCTTTGTGTGTCCTTTTTTTCAGTTGGACTGTGTGTGTGTGACTACAGTGATTCTTGCGTGTCATTGCACACAAAGATGCGTTTCTGCACAGTGACCAACAATATCTCCACAATCTGTTCAGGCCCCTCAGAATAAAGATGTTTGAGGGACAATGCTGACACTAGGGTGACAAACATTACTGATACAGATACAGATATATATATACACACATATTGAAATGCAATTGCAATGATTCCTTAGATGTTG